GTGGCAGGGAATATCTGTCCTTCAGTCTTCCCTCAGGGGCGCACGCTGCTTAGAAAAGCAGGAACGCATGGCACACAGAGATAGTCTCCTGTCTCTAGAAACTGCCAAGTGGGGATATTCTTAGAGAAGTATTGTCACACTGCTCTGTGGCTCATGTGGCCAGCAGCTGGCTCAGAGGACACTGTGGTCTTGGTCTATAAAGACAGCTCCAAGGCTTGGTGTCTGTGGGTCAACCCCACTGTCAGGGTCAAGTGTAGGTGACCTAGAGTGGGTGGCTGGTCGGGAGCCACGCCCACCCCAGTGTCACTGGGTGGCGGGGCCCTTTGCCCTCCTGGGTCCCCTGCCGTATCCTGTGCTTCCTCTGGCTGTCCTGACCTTCGGCCCTGTCCTGGGAATCCATGGCTCTGTACCTGCGACTGCTCTGTTCCCTACACCCCACTCGCACAAAGACCACCGTCTTTAAAGGTGGGGCAGCTGGAAGGACCCTCTCCCCCTTCCTGCTCCATGAACCCCGGCAGTACCACCCTCGGTCCTGGTGTACAAATTGGTGAACCTCACTTATTTATTGTTTGCTTTTTTTTTTTTGAGACAAGGTCTCACTATGTAGCGCAGCTGGCCTTGAACTCACAGCAATTCTGCTTTAGTCTCTCGAGTGCTGGGGTCACAGCCTGTGCCACCACACCCGGCTGGACCTCACTTGCTGTGTGAACCCCATGCCTGTAATCCCCGCACTCTGGGAGGCTGAAGCAGGAGGATCAGGAATTCAAGCCCAGCAACTTAGTGATTTAGCAAAACAAAAAAAGGCCGAGGATTTAGCTCAGTGGTTTTGCCAACTGCTGCGCAAGGACCCGAGTTCGATCCCTGGTACCAAAGAAAAAAAAAAAAAAAAAGAGCTGGGGATGTAGTTCATTGCAAAGGCCCTGTGCTCAACCCAGTACTGGGGGAAAAAACTTGAACAGCAAGGAAGCCTGGGAAGCGTGGACCCTTGCCCACTCGCTTCCCCAGTCTGTCTGGGGGCTCCTGACCTGGGGTTCTTTCAGTCCCTGGGGCTGCCATGCAGGGCAGGGTTTGGGTAGAAATAGCGTCCTGCTGGGGACAGTCAGTCAGTTCCAGGAAGGATGGACTCCTGTGTGCGATGGCTGTCGAGGAGGTGCAGCTTCCCTGCTGCAGGGTGAAGGGAAAGGGGGGGGGTCCTAGTGCAGGGTACAAGGAGCAGGGGGTGTGGAAAGCAATGCCTGCCCCCAGGAGCTGCACTGGGGGCCTGGAAAGATGCTGGGAGCCCTGGCAACTATGTTAACACCAGCCGGGCAGGAGACTGAGGGCCCCTGGAGGTGTAGGTCAGGGGCCAGCAGCCCAGCGGGGACAGGGTACCAGTGATGTGTGTTTCTGCACAGTTACTGGGAAAGTGACACTGTTCCACGTGTGTTCATCGGGGCTGAGACTCCTGGAGCAAATCTGCGCTATTTAAATTTTTAATCAAAATGGGCAAAAGTTTTGAAAACTTTGCTCTCTGACCTGGAGCTGTGGCTGGAGCTGGGGTGCTTCCGCCCTTCTTAGGGCCCCTGGCCAGGTTCCCTTCCTGGGCCACCTGAAGGTGGCTGCTCACCAGGTGGGGACACAGGCCAGCTGTGTCCCCTCACCCCTGCTCCACCCAGCCCCGCTCTATCTCCTCCTGGTTCCCCTCACCCAGCCCTGGCCCCATGACACAGAAGGGTCATACTCCTGCCTACACGCCGTCCCCCAGGACGGCTCACCCCAATTCTCTAGATGGGGAAACTGAGGCTTGGGTAGACAGTGACTCCCTCAGCATCAGGACTGGAACCCAGGTCCCCTACTTCCCAGAGCACAACTCCTTGGACCCCCCCCCCGCCCATTTCCAGGTGAGCTTCCATGGGACAGGTGGCAGGAGAGGGCTGGCCTAGGTTGGTGGCAGGTAAGATGAGTGAGTCCTGGGGAACCCCAGTCTGCCTGCCTGTGTGTGAGATGCCTGCCCCAGGCCCAACGGTCTACCCTTCCCTCAGCCAGAGTGCCTCCCCGCCCCACGCACGCACACACGCACGGAGCTGTCCTCTCCTTTATAAAACTTCACCTTGAAGTCCTCTGCTGGGAGGCCTTACTGAGCAGCTGGTTGGGGTCCGCAGGTGCCCAGCGGGTGGGCAGTCTGAGCTGTGGCCTGTGTGTGTTCTGTGCCCTGCCTGCCTTGTTCCCGCACGGGCCCATACACTCCCCCAGGACAGACAGGGCTGTACCTGTCTCCACAGTTCCCATCTCTGACCCTGCCCTCAGGGTTGGGGATGCCAACCATAGCATTCTGGTTGAGTCCTGGCACAGAGCCCAGGCCATGGGTCCCAGAAGCCAGAGATGGCAGGGCCTGTAGGCACCACATACTTCGAACTTGAACAGGTTGGGAAGCCCACGGCCAGACACATTGGGGATACACTGTGTTTAGAGAGCAGTCTTCTCACGCCTTACTTCTCAGAGCCTTTGACAGCTTATGGGCACTGTGACTCCCGGGACGGAACAAAGGGCACTTGCACTCCAAGCTTGGGAGACCACAGGGTCTACTCAGAGCAGGCAGCACTTGCTGGGAAATTCGGGTCCAGACTCCCTCCCCCAGCGAGACTGAGGTCCGCAGGGCAGAAGGGGCCACTGCAAATTAGAAAAAAGTGCTCATCACCGTCTGGGGGAAATGAACACCAACAGACCAATTTTATCAGAATGGGATCCTTTACTGCCCTCTGCTGGAAATTCTGAGTAAACACACACATTATTACCTACAATGCTGTCTGTATGTGGGATCCGCGGCATACTCTCCCTCAGATGAGTGAGGTGGATGGGGTACTGTTTTTTTTTTTGGTACTGGGGATCGAACTCGGGTCCTTGGGCTTGCACAGCAGGCAGCGGAACCACTGAGCTAAATCCCTGGCCCTGGATGGGGTACTGTTATCTAGTGTGTAACCTGCCCGACCATGCATGGCAGGCCTGGGCTCAAAGTCACACAATCTCAACTTGGGTGTCCCTCATTCCCTTTCTGGCCCAGGGCAGGTTCTGAATTGACTGCCTTGGCCTCAGCCCTGAGGGACAGACCCTTCTGAAAAGGAAGGTAGTCCAGGATCTGGAGCCTGTGTCGCCCCTCGGGCCCTTGTCTAGCCGTGGCCAACTGGAATACCTGCCGCTGGGACAGAGTCCACCAGCGCTCACATAGGGAGGGGAGACTTGAGAGTCGGATTGGATCCAGACCTGGCAGGGGCTCTAACTTGCTGTGGCCTTGGGAGGGTGCTGAGCTTGATCATTTGCAGAGGGTCCCACATCCCTGAACTGACAGTGGCCTCCCTGCCCCCAGCCCTATGGAGTTTGCAGAACAGGACAGTCACTCCTAGTCTCCAAGAAGACAGCAGACTACAACCTGGATTTTTTTTTTTATTAGACTAGGAAATATAATTTATTTCATAAAAATTAATTTTGTTACAATAGGAATGTTGAACGTTATTTACAGGTTGTAGTTTACAGAGCGGACAGAGGTGGATTGGGGCCATCCTGGAATGCTGCAGCCCTGGGACATATAACCATGTCACGGCCCATGTAGGGTCCAGCCCTTCATCCCCAGAGCTGTCCCCTGCACCCAGGCTCCCGGCACCTCCTCTCAGAGGACCTGTGAAGGGACTCAGCTCAGCTGGCTGGGGACAGGAGCCCTGGACCATCCAGGAGATGAGGAGGGTCCCAGGCAGAAGGCTGGGCCTGCGAGGAGGCAGAGAGGCACGTAGGAGATATGCGGACCCTGTGGGCGCAGGGAGGGCGAAGCAGGCACAGGGCCTCCAGGGGCGCAGAGGAGGCCACACCCCACACGCAGGCGGGGCAGGTGTGCATGTCCCTGTGGGGGGGGCGTCCTGGTGTGCCTGAGGATAAAAACACACGCACATGCACACACACCAGAGGTGAGAGACAGAACTGTGAGCTTGCCTGCAGGGTCCTGGTGGCACTGAGCTGCTGCTGCCCTGTGGCAGCACCTCAGCAGGTCGGTGGAGTTGGCAAGTGCTTTCTGGGCTTTTCCTATAGAGCTGGACAGTGACCCCAACGGGAGGCTCCGGCCAATCATCCTTGCTCCGGGCCCTTGGAAAGGGCGGGCTGGACCTCAGCAGCCAGTAGCTCCTGTCCTGGCGCTGGTAGGAGGCCATGGCCACCTCAACTTCTGACCATTAGGGTTCCATTTGGAAGGCCAGAAAATGGCGTGTCAGATCCCAAAGGACCTCAGACAACATCTGTGGGGCTTCTTAGGCATAAGAAGTATGCAGATGCCCAGAGAGGGCAGTGGTATGCCTGAGGTCACATGGTGGTTTTGCAGCAGCTGGACCTCCACTCCAGCCTCTCTCCACAGCGCTCATGGTGGAAGCCAGGCAGGGCCTCATCTGCCCTTGGTCAACTTCCACCCAGGAGCCCCTGAGTCCACAACTAGGGAGACAGGCTGGGGACACTGGCTGGGACAGGAGAGTAGACCTTCAAAGGCCGGGTGTGCCCAGGTGGTCCCAGCAGCTTCTCAGGGGCTGCTGGGGTAAGCCCTGGGGCCTGTGTCCAGAGTTTGAGGCATCTGGCACCTGCCTGGCCTCAAATACCAAGGGGTGGCCTCATACCCACTGTGAGATCCTGGTCCCGGTCATTGCCAGCTGGCTCAAAGTGGTTGGGGAATTGACCCTACCCGCTCAGGTGCCCCCTGGAACACTGTGGGTGGGCAGTGTCTGCTCCTTCACCCTGGCCACCCTGCCCATCCAGAAAGGCCACTCCCCAAGCTCCCCGGCCACAGAGGGAGGAGGGCGCAGATCAGAGCTGGGAAGACGAGTTCCACCCCCACTGCCCTCCTGGGTGCTGACTCCAGCTGGCCTGGGTGCCCACACTTCCCACTCCAGCCCTCTTCATCTCCACTCCCAGGAGCACAGAGGAGCCTGGGTGTCTGCTTGTGGCTGGGGAAGGAAGCTCCCTCCTGTCCTCAGGGCCCTTGGCTTTATGAATTCAGCCGACCCTGTCTCACCTGCTCCCTGCACAGATGGGGAAACCGAGGTCTTGTCAGAATTCAGTCCAAGACAGAGTCATTAGCAGCAAAGCATGCCTTGTTCAGTCTCTCCCCCCAACACACATGCACACATGCACACGCGCGCACACACACAAACACGCACACACGCATGCACAAGCTCCCGGCTAAAACCTGAGCACGCCAACTCTCACCCACACTCAGGAAAAAAGTTTTCGTTTTCTTTTTTTTCATTTTCTTTCTTTCTTTCTTTTTTTTTTTTTCTTAAAAAGGACTTATCCAAATATCTGGATAATAAATCATTTGCGTTTCCTAAGAAACTGGGTTTTTCTTTTCCCTTGTGGTTTTGGTGTTTTCCTTCTTCTCTGAGCCTCACTAGTGTCTGAAGCTTTTTTTTTTACCTTCCTTTTCCTTTTCACTGTGGACAGGAGAAAGCAGTTCTGTGGAATTAATTGTACTCGACTCTTTGTGAGGGAAAGGGAGTGAAAGCTTTCCGGGCTCTGGGGGGAGAAACCAGCAGGTGGGGGCGAAGGTGAGAACAGAACTAGAACTAGGGGACCCAGAAGTCACAGGGCAAGTGCGGGAGAAGGGCTGGAGGGAGGGCCACCTCCTGTCCCTAACTGCTGCTGTCACACAGGGTACAAACCAGGAGACGGCATGAGATGAGGGGCTCTGGGCCTCCCAGCAACTGAGCACATGGATTCTCCGAGGCTGGCTGTGGTCTGGTCTTGGTCTGGGGCTCTGGTGGGGAGCAGGAGGAGGAGAGGAGCAACTCCAGCTGTAAGCACTGGACCTCCCCACCCTGCCTCCTGTCTGTTCCTGCCAGCCCGTGGCTCTGGGCGCTAGCAGTCCCCGTCAGTGGCCATGGCCACCAGCATCTCACTCTTGCCCATCTCCTCCAAGGCACTGGCCAGGCTGTTGAGGTCCCCATCATCCTGTTGCAGAGCTTCCCAGAGGTCCAGGATCACACCTGTGGGGCTCGCTTTGGTGGCAAAGTAATTCAGATACCTGGCAGAGGGAAGTGGGGGCATTGGGGCATGCTTAGCACCTCCCAGGAGCCTGCGGGTGAAAAGGCTGTGGGCTTGGGGCCCTGCAGTCCTGGGTGGCCCTGGGCATGTCAGTGTGCCTCGCTGAGCCTCTCAGCCCGTCTCTAACACAGGATCAGAGTGAGTCACCTCCCAACATTGCAGGACCATATCCAACCCGAGCAGACACTGGCACTGGGACTGTCCAAGCCCAGCCACCATGCTCTTCTCTTCCGCCCACCTCTGTTCCCTTCCGATTCGGCCCCACGAACTCCCCTGACAGCAGGAACAGAGCCCCAGCCAGCTCTGCAAGTCCCACTCATTTCCAGGAGGATGTCTTATTCATAGCATCTGCTCAAGGCAGGTCGATGACACATTTTTTCAATAAGTACACAGTCATCACTGCCATCCTAAGTGTTGAGCATCTGCAGTTCTGCAAAAGCTGTTACACTAAGGTACATCCGCTCAGCAAGCGTCTTGGTGCACCTGCTTGGTCCAGCCACTGTGGTGCTGATGGTGGCCACACCTAGCTGGTGTCCGGGCTGCGCCTGATTCTTAGCCCATCCCAGGAGATGAGCGGTGGCCACAGCCTGCCTCCTCACCGGCCAGTGCTCCGAGCATGGTGCTCCTCAAAGGAGACAGCGCAAATGGGAGGCCCAGGACTGGGAGCGCCTGCCTGACCTGGAGCATGAAGGGATGTGGCGTGGCTGACGGTTGGGACACTCACCGGTCCATGGACAGCTTCTGCGCCAACAGACGCCAGTCGTTGCCCCGCGAGTTGGGGGCGTCAAGGCTGTTGCATATCTTCTGGCGGATGGACACTGGGATCTTGAAGGCATAGGGGCCCAGCTGTGTGGTGACAGCGCTGCCAGGGGCAGAGCACAGGGCATCCAGGGAACTAGCAGGTGTCTGGAAGGACAGGGGAAGAGAGAGGGCCACACGACCAGTTGTCAGCTTCTCCAGCCTCCCTGCTGGGACTGCAGGCACACTGGGGCTTGCGTCGTGCCCATCTCCTCTGGGCCTCTCCAGCTGCCCAGGCAAGGGGCTCCTCTCTGAGGGCAAGGGCTACACTATGCAGCCTCATGGTCAGGAGGCCCCAGGAGCCTTGGCCATGGTCTAGACAGTCCATGCTAGCCTGCTGTTATTCACAGGGAAAATGCAGTCTAGAAAGGGGAAGTGACTTGGCCAGGATCACACGGCGGCAAGGGAGCAGCAGAGCTGAGTCCAGACCCAGGCTCGGTGCTTTTCTTGTTTTTGTTTTTGAGACAGGGTCTTTCTAAGCAGTGCAGGCTGGCCCTGAACTCACAGTGATCTTCCTGCCTCGGCCTCCTGAGTGCTGGGATTACAAGTGTGTGCCACCATGCCTGGCTTCAGTGCTTTTTATACTGCACCAAAAGAAGGATCCGGCTTTGTCCTTTTGGGTGACCTGGCTTTTTACAGCTCAGTCTGGACTTACAGGGCTTGAGAGCCATAGCTTGGAAACCCTGACCTGGGTTCAAATCCAGTCTTGCCAGTGGTGTGACCTGGTGCAGAGACCTTCCCTCCCTAACACCTACTGTGCCATCCTGCAGGTGGGCATCAGGACAACCATCCCCTGGTGTTCCGGAATAACATTTTACCACCCAGCACATGCCATGCACCACTCAGGAAATGATGGCTGTTGGCCCAGACTGACCAAGTCCCACCTGCGGCTGGAGCAATGTCTTTAAGGGGACAGAATTTCTGCCCAGATGAAGGGGGAACAAGGAGTCTGAGTGCTGCAGCCCCAGCACCATGGTGTCACAGGCCTCACCTCAGCCAGCGTGGTGTGCAGCTGGAATATCTGGCCTTCCCCCTCCACCTGCCGCACGCAGATCTTGCAGGTGAGCTCGGTGGAGGCCAGGCTGTGCCGCTCCAGGGAGAAGGTGCAGTGCAGGGCCTTCTGGCTGCCACTCCAAATGTGACAGAAAGGAATTTCCTGTGGGAGGGTGGTCAGGGCTGCAGGTGAGGCCAGCCTGGGGCGGGCAGGGGCCTTGGTGGGTGGTCAGGCCCTCGGTTCCACGAGGGTACTGAGAAAGGGGTGGGAGCAGGGGGAGCTCTGAAGATGAGAGTGTGTAGCCTGCGTGTGTCTGGGCTGGAGCACCTCAGGGACTCGATGGTGTCACACACTACAGGGTAGGACAGAAGGATGTGGCCACCAGAGACGAGTGTAGCCAGTCGGCCAGGCATGCACACCCAGATGGAGAGGCCTCTTTGAGGGCCATGGGCACAGGAGACACAGAGTGTGGCAGGGGCAGAAGGGAGAGGGTGGCTGCGGATGGCACAGAGCTCGGGGACGTGTCTGAGGATGGCCAGCAGAGGGAGACAGCGATGGCAACAGAGACAGCGGACAGGGATGCAGCTCAGCGCAGAGCCAGGGAGCTGGCCAGATGGGGGCAGCGGTCCCTCCGCTTCCCGGCTCAGCCCTCACCTGGTACTTGGCCAGCAGCTTGCTCCGCCAGTGAGCATGGGGGATGTCATGCAGGGACAGGCGCAGGTTGTGGTAGCTGTCCTTGAACAGCAGGGGCTTGGGCTCCTCCACCAGGTAGCCCCCCAGCGTCCGCTCCAGCTCCAGCACCTCCTGTGGACCGGCAGTGGAAAGAGGAGCCCGTCACACTTGGCTGGGCACCCTTTTCTGCTGCAAGTTGGGGCCGGGGGCAGGGGCCATCTGGATACAGAGCACAGGATCCACCTGACCCCTTCAGCAGGCACTTTAGATGAATGGATGTGTGGACAGATGAGTGGGTGAACAGGAAAGCGGATGAGTGAATGCAGAGACAGTCCACTCAGGAGTGGACTTACGGATGAATGTTTGGATAGAAGGACTGATGGGGTGCGTGAATGGACAGATGAATGGATAACTGGATGGACAGAAACACAGAAACATGGATATACAAATGGATGGGCATATGAACAGAAGGACACTTGAAAGGAAAGATAAATGGATGGATAGATGGTGGACAGATAAGTGTATGGATAGATGAACAGAAATATGGGTGGATGGATAAATGGATGTAGGCTGAAAAACAAAGGATGCCATCAGGCCAAAATGTGGCCTCGTCCCTCCTGAACTCCACGCCACTCCCTGGCCAAAGGTGGACATCAGCCAACACTGGCCCCCCAGTAGCAGGAGATCCAGGCCACAAGAGTGTTTCCCAGCAGCGTCCACCCCACTGTGGGCCTCCTGGAATTTCAGGCCAAGTGACCCCAGCAGGAGGCGCTCCTTCTCCCCCAGGGCCCTTTCACCCATGTTGCATCAGTTCACACCGTGGAGTCTGAGACAAGTCACATCGGCCTGGGAGACAAGGAGCTGGGAGGGACCAAGCCCAGGGTGGGAGGAGCAGGAGCTCTGCAAAGGACTGCAAGGCTTCATGGAGGGGTGGATGGAAGGACGGAACGTTGCGGCTGGTGGGTGCTACTTGTGTTACGGCTGGTGGCCACATGATGCTCAACACCAGTCCCCTCCCCTTCCCTCCTTTTCTGCCCCAATAACTCCTTGCCTGCCACGACCCCTCCCTCACTTAGGGGCATCACCGCCCATTCTTCTGCACCCAGCATAGCCTGGCTGCCAGCCCTGAGTGCTCCCCTTATCCATCCCACAGCCCTGGTCTGTCCATTCCACCCACGAAACAGTCCAGCCCCCTCTCCTGGCCAAAGTCACTGCCTAATGCCCGGACCCAAGCCCAGCCTCCCAGCCGGCCTCCCTGCTTCTTGTCCATACCCTGCAGCAGAGCCACAGAGGCTCTTTAAAAAGCACCTGTCCGCTAGCATCTTCTGGGTCTACCTCTTGCCACTGGACAGGTTCCAAGGCTCCTGGGAAGCTGATCCCTGCCTGCCTCCCAGGCCACCTCTTCTGCCCTCACGTGCTGACATGTCCCTATGTCCCCTGGGACTTTGCACACACCAAGCAGCACCTTGGCAGCAGCTGCTCTGTCTGCTGGGAATGCCCTTCCCTCTTCACTGCCCTGAGCTCCTGCTTGTCCCCTGGGGCTCACATCTACAGTCAGCCTTCTCAGACCACTCCTCTGGTGCTTCCTAAGCCCTCTGCAGACCTGACTGTCTCCCTCCTCAGGCCTGGAGCCTGGTGTGGCAGGAACCCTGGCCTCATCTCTACCCTGAGGGTCCCACACTGTTTGCACGTGGAGAGGACAGAGGGAGCCTGCAAGGTCCATGCACCTGGGCAGGGGAGGGAAGGCCGGAAGGGACCCTGCAGCTGCCCGGCTAGTGGTAGTGCAACTGCAGCGTGCCAGGCGTGGGCACCTACCTTCAAGGCCACGGGTGTGTCCTCCAGGCAGTAGACCTTGAGGCTGTACTCCAGCGATGTGCAGAGTGCGGGCGCGAAGATGGCCAGCTGGAGCCGCTTGAGGGCTGAGCGGGAGTAGGACTCGCCCATGAACACGTAAGTGCCCAGCTGGTCCAGCAGAACATGGCAGGACCTGGCCTCCAGCTGGCAGTAGCAGGGGGTGTTCAGGGTCTCCTCATCCAGGGTCACCACCTCCTGCGGGATGCAGGAGACAGTCAGCCTCCAGGCTGCGGCAGGAGGAAAAGGGGCTGGGTCTCACCTCCATGGCCCTGCTCCTCACCTCCCAGTGGCCCTGGTGAGCCTGGGTCTTGAGCTGGAAGATCCAGTCACCGGCACTGACTTCGGCGCAGTGCGGCATGGTGAGGATGACAGGGCGGCACAGCAGGAGGCCTGTGGGCCCACAGGTCACCGAGGGGCTCAATACTGTCTGGGTCCCTTCCGAAAGTGGGCTGGGGGCACAGCACAGCGGGGAGGAAGGCAGTGAGGGGTGACCCAAAGAACTCAGCAAGGACCCCCAACTCTGCCTCGGTCTGTCAGAGGGCAGAGGCCGAGGGGATGGATGAAGAGGGCAGAGAAGACGGATAAACCTTGAAGTTGTTCCCAGGGTTTTGCTTTGATGCCGTAACTTTCTCATGGCCAAACCTTTGGGTGCAGTTCCAAAGGTCCTGCACTTTTGGATCAGTCTTGCTAGACACTGCTAAACTGCGCTCCGGAGAGCTGATACCAATCTCTACTCCCAGCAGGCCAGAGAGGGCCGCGTTCCCCAGGCTTTTGGCAGCAAGAGGGAATCATCATTTGAAAAAAATAATCCTTTGAAATTCCTTAATCAAACAAAACAAAACAAAAACCTCCCAACATCTTCTGGCTGTTTTCTTAAAGACTACAAATTAGGTGGAATGTCTCCTCAGAAACTTCTGGTCATCGTGTGTGTGTGTGTGTGTGTGTTTGTGTGTGTGTGTGTGTCTGTGTAAGAGAAATAGTGTGTGAATCCCTTGTTCACATTTTGTATCTATGTTTATACTGAGGAGTTCAATTTTTCTTAGTTTATAAAAGCTTTTTACATTGCAAGGTTATTAGCTCTTCATGCTACTTGTAGCCAGTTTGTCAACTGCTGTTCAGCTGTATGGCTTAGGGTGTTGGTTTTGCACATTTTAAATGTGGACATGGTAGGACCAAGACCTTCCCCACAGGAACCCTAACCCGGGGACCAGGCTTAGTGGGGAGGGGACAGTGGAGAGCAGCTGGGCCAGGGCAGGGGCCTCTACTCACAGGCTGCTTTCGGCCTTGTTGATAAGCAGGTACATCTCGTAGAACTTGCCCTGGGGAATGGCTCCATTGGGCACCAGCAGGCTGACCCCTGAGGGGAGAGGGAGGTCAGCAGGCAGGGGCTGAAGGAAGTATGGGGTTAGTGTTTAGGGGAACGGGGATGGGAGGTTGGCACGGCTTGGGGCAGGGACAGATGACACCTGAGCTCTGGTGGTCTCCATCTGGGAGCAGAGAGAGCGGGTCCCAGGGCCAGCTCTATGCCTAGCTCAGGGCATGACTCCGGAACACTCCCAGCTGCTGGGCTCTCAAGGCAAGATGGCAGCTTTGCCCTTCCTGCCCTAGAACCTAGGACAGTGCTCTGTAAGACTGCAGGACCATGTGGGGCTACTCCCTCCCAGTGAACAGATAAGGAAACCAAGGCTTGGAGAGCGGCTGGCCCACAGCTCCCCTGCTCCAGAAGACACAGGCAGGCCCGGGCCTGAGCCTTTAATCAGACCTCTCCATCTTCTATCCCTTCCGGCCCTCCAGCCTTGTTCTCCCCATCTAAGCAAAGGGATGGGAAGCCCTGCCTTATGCTGGTGGGTGCTGGGGCTGCCAAGAGAGAACGTGCCGAGCCAGGGTGACAGGCAAGTGGCGCACCTGTGCCAGGGATGCTCAGCCTCCCACCCAGGCAACCAAAGGTGCCGCTGACACTGCTGCCAGGTTCTCGGGGCAGGCCCAGGAGCTGCTGGGACCCGAGGCTGGTGCTGCGCAGGTGCAGGAAGTGGCTGTCCCGGGAGAGATCACCAGGGTAAGTGCCAGGTGGCAGGACGCCCAGCAGGTCGGTCCCATCAGGCAGGCCAGGCCTGGGCCCAGTGGTGCTGGAGTTGTAGACCTTGATCTTGAGGCCAGGCAGGGGGTCCAGCAGGGGAGAGTTGGTCATAGGGATCTTGTCAGCCGAGTCCTGCAGGGCGTACACCGGCCCTCGGTAGATGCCAGCACTGGCCGTCAGGTCAGGAGGCATGGATGGGTGCAGCAGCTGTGGGTTGCCTGCAGAGGTAGAGTGATGGTCACATGCTGGCCAGTGCCCCTTTGCTCCCGCAGGGCCCTCCTGTCCCACCCAAAAGTCCAGCTGTGAAAGTTCCATGGCCACCCGCTGCAGCAAGCTGGGGGCAAACTCTGGGCAAACTCTGGCACAGCAAACAGCTGTGCCCTCCAGGGGCCCTCAACCAACCCACCATCCCAGGGCATCCTGGGGTCCTTACTGGGCCTCGTGGTCTTGAAGTTGACTGGATGGAAGCCGCCAGTGAGGGCAGCAGATGAGTCAGTGATGTCGGTGTCGAAGTCGCGGCAGTTGCGGCGATACACCACCACCCCCACCGCCATGAGGACTGCCACTACCACGAAGATGGCCACCACGAGGCCTGCATACAGCGCCACATCACCTGAGGCCTCCAGGACTGCAGGTCAGGAAGATACATGAGGCACAGGGCCGAGATGCCAGTGAAGGCTAGGGTCTTGGGGAGGGGCAGGGCTTGGGACAGACTGGCACTGCATGGGGGTCTGAGCCCTGCCACAACAGGCTGGTGACCTCGGGCAAGCCCAGGACCTCTTTGATCCAGTCTCCTCATTAGCAAAATGGCCTCAAACCCCTGCTCTGCTGCCCACTCACCCTCCCAGGGTAGCAATGAGGCAAAAGAACAAACAGGTCCACACCATGAATGAACTCACGGCTCCCTGCTCAGAGGTCTGGGGCCACACAATTTGTGCCACTGCAGCCGAGATTTAAACTATAGGATCTCACACCAGCCTGCAGCCATTTTCATAGGACCAAAGGTCCCGGCTCCCTGAAATCTTCCTAAGTAACCATTCTGACCTGTTCCCATCCTGTGCTCCGAGGGACAGAGGTGGAGATGGGGGTAGGGGTGGGATGAGATGCAGGCCATGGGGTGGCAGGCAGTGAGCAGGTAGCGAGAAGGATGGGGTTGGAAACCCGGAGGCTATGCTTCCCTCCCCACAGCAGGCTGCAGCTGGACATAACTACCCATGACCAAGCAAGAAGGTGGCAAGGTCGAAGAGGCAAGGTCAACAGAACTTTCTATGATGGCCGAACTATTCTCTATCTGTGCAATCCCATATGCAGCCTTTAAATACAAGTGGCTGGTACAACTGAAGAGCTGAATTTTTAAATTGATCTAGTGTAAATTAAGTTAAATATCAATTTTAAGTAGCCACATGTGGCTGAGGGCTACTGCACTGGTAGGCTCAGGCAGAGCCAAGATGGCGGCTGCCAAGAATGGCTGCTTCAGGAAGTACCCAACCATGCTTTCCAGCCCCGAGGGGCTCTCAGAGAGGTAGGCCTGCTTTCCCTGCCTGGTGTCCTCCAAGCCTTTAGGTCAGCCTGAACCCTCCAGAACACAGGACATGGCTGTCCACTCTGAACGTCAGTGTATTTCCTGTACCTGCCTGTTGCCTTCATTCTCGAGCTCCCCTCAGAGGAGCCCCTCAGGCCTGGGCTCCCACCTCTCCGAAGGCTCCTGGCCAAGCAGGGAAATGTCTCTCTCAGCTTTGCTCTGCATCTTAATGTCCTTGCTCACACTGGGGGCCACTTGCCTGGTGATTTATGCTGTCTAATCAGCCACCAGCCTGGTCCCCCAGTGAGCTGGGCTGAGGGCCTCATTGCTGATTTTATGATTTCAGAATTATTTGGAAATTGTGGTTTAATTACCATGGGCCAATCTGCCAAAGAGGCTTTATTGCCCTGATATTACTGCGACGGCAGCAGCCCCATGGGGCTAAGGACAAGGCCTCCCTCAGGAGCCGATGTAGGGCAGTGGCCTGCAGATGGCTCAGGAAGCAGGGCCCAGCTGCTGGGGTACAGGGGTGGGAGGATGTGGTGCTGCCCTGACCATGTCCCAGAGAGGAACGTTGAGGGCACAGGGTTAAAAGGACCAGCCTTGGCCACAAAACTATTTGGGTCCAAATCCTGCCTCTCTTACTTCCTGGCTGGGTCCTTGGGTGAGTTTGTTCTGAGACTCAGTTTCCCATCCTATAACAGGAGGGTCATGAGAGTCCTAGACCCTTTCTGTCAGCCAAAGCCTGTCTGTTCGTGATGGAGGGCGGAGATCCATAGAGCATCAAGTGCAGGGTTGGCACAGGGTTGGCAGTTGGCACTGTCAATTCTTCCTGTTCTGTACCCCACAACCAGGAAAAGCCAGCCAAGGAGAACCAGGGGACCCAGAGGGGAGACAGTCATGAAAGGGGACTTACGGTGACTTTTGGGGTCGCTTAGAGTTCTCTTATCTGTCGAGGGAAATAAAGGGAAAGACAATGAATGACACAGGTGCTAGGGGAAGGATGGCAGAGAAGGCGATGCGGACGTGATGCAGGTGAGATGATGGATGTGGGGTGGCAGAGGCCCTGAGAGCGGCCCCACAGCAGGCCAGGCTCTGAGGCCTGGGGCTGAGTCGGGGTGGTAGTGGGGTCCCTCACCTGGCTCCGGATGCCCCCTACCCAGGGCCCCGAGCTCCTGGGGACTCACTCTGCATGCACAGCCCATCAGTGCAGTTCCTGGAGTCGAGTAACGGCCCAATGCAGTCTCGGCCTCCATTCTGGGGCGGGGGCGCCATGCACTCACGGCTGCGCCACTGGATACACTCAGTGCTGCAGGCCGACCACTTGCTCCACTCCGTCCACGCCCCGTCCACTGTGGGCACGGTGCACATAGTTACAGAGTAACGCACTGACACACACACGTGTCCTGGGTGGGGAGAGGAAGCTGAGACACATGCATGCCATGCTGGGAAACCATGCTGTGCCCACACAGCCCCTTGCCAGCAAGCAGTCAGATGCACCCAGTGGACAAAGAGACACACAGGTCATCGGGACAGCCATAGGCCAGTGCATAATCGTAAGTGCAAAGATACAAGCCCAGGGTGAAGAACACCACACCATCACATCACACAGCCAAAAGGAGACAGCAGAGTCAGATGTACATGGAGATGGGGACTCACAGACCGGAAGAGGAAGACAGAGAGGGGAGACGGCGGTTAGGAGGATCAAGGTCCATGGCCAAGAGCTACACATAGGACACTGGACCCTGGGCCAGAAGAACCCAGGTTGGAGGGGCCAGAGGAGGAGCCCACCCAGTACCACAGCTCAGAGCCTCTGCCTCCATTTCCCCAGCAGCCAGGGCAGGCAGAGCAAGGGGTCAGAGGCGAGAGTGCCTAGCCAGCTTGGGTTGTCAGCTGTGGGCCCTGGGGGTGCTCCTGCCCTGCCCATGCTGGGAGAGGGTGCTGTCCTGCCTCAGCACCATCATGCAAGTGGGATGCTCGGGGAGGGGCTGGGTGTGCAGGCTACTGCCTGGCTGGGCTCCTCACCTGGACACACAGTGGTGCACGCCGTCTTCTGGAAGGCCTGGCCCTCGCAGAAGGCGCCTCCGTTGAGTGGGGTGGGGTTGGTGCAGGTCCGCGTGCGCTTCTGCCAGCCACGCCCACAGCGGTTAGAGCAGGGTGACCAATCTGTCCAGCTGGACCAGCCGCCATTCACTGTAGGGACAGCAGCCGTCAGCAGGTTGGCCTGGCCCTGGGACCTCTGGCCCCCAGCCCACACCCACCTGATGGCCCTCTGCTGAGACCTGACTTGCAGTGAAGCCCTCTCCTGGCTGCAGGTATTTGGACACCAGCATGCAGCCCTGCGCTGTCACCATCAGTGCAGAAAGGACATGAAGGTCACTGCCTCATCCTGGACCCACCCAGAGTGACGAGGTTCCAGAGAGGGCCAGCACTTGTCAGGGTGCTCTGGTGTGTGATGGGGACCTGGACTCAGGCTGGGGCCCTTTTTATAACATCCCATAGCCCCTGCAGCTGTGGCTCTGCCCTCCTCACCCCTGGGCCAGGGGAACAGCAGAGGACGGCACTCAGGACTGGGCAGCAGCCCCCGCTCCCCTGGGTGATGAGGACCTGACCTTCCTCTTCTCCTTTAGACACCCAAGGGGCCCCGAGAAGGGGGCAGTGCCCTGGCTGGGCACCCAGGAATGGCTCACTTGGCCACTTTTTGCTGTGTGACCTCAGTCAATTGACTTCTCACCCTGCTGGGGTCCTTTTGGCACCCTGGGCAGGGCGGGGTGGAGCAGATGTGTAGCCCCAGCCCCTCCCCCCACCCCCACCCCAGCACCCCACCGTAGACGATGACAGTGGCTGTGGTGCTCCGACGCTTGGCCACGATGTTCTTGGCCACACAGGTGTAGTTGGCGGTGTCTGACAGTCGGGCCTGGCGGACGATGAGGTTGTGGTCGATGGTGAGCAGGAAGTTGGTGTCCTGGGTGGGGTCGATGACATCCTCATTCTTGAGCCACTCCACCTGTGGGAGTGGATGGGGCGCTGCGGACTCAGGGTCTCCTCCCCTGTGGCAAGGGATGAGCCCACTGCAGAAAGGAGGACAGCTGAGGGGGGACAGAATGGCAGCTTACCACATCACAGTGGTGACACCCCAGGCAGGACCTCCACAGGGCCATACTGTGGCTGAGTGGGGGTGCTCACCACATAGGGCCCAATGTGCCAGCTGTGTGATGGGGACCCAATAGCATCTGCCCCCCAGGGCTGCAGGGAGGACACGGTTGGCTCAGGTAAGCACCAAGCATGCAGTAGTTGGCAGTTCCTGTCCTCACTGTCAAACCCAGGCTGGGGATTAGGAGCGTGGCTCCTGGGGTCAAATCCCAGCTTTTCGCTCACTAGCCGCTCTCCCTGGGCAACACCCTGCCACCCCCAGCGATGGTTTCCAGCTGCACAGGAGCGACATCATCTGCCCTGCCAGGCTGCCATGAAGACCAGTGTGTCTTGGCCCATCCTACATGACACACTGTTTCCAGAGGAGGCCTGGGCTGAGGGAAGGCTGAGCCATTAGGGCGAGGTTTTGGGGTGACACAAGGCTGATCCCCCATGGGAAGCCAGTTCTCCCAGCTCCGGGCCCCAGGGGCAAATGGACATGGCCCCCTGTCCCCGGCTCTAATTCCTGGACCACTGAGCAGGGGTATGAGGGGGAAGGGGAGTATGCTCGCTACTCGAGGAAGGATGGTGAGAGGGGATAGACGGGGCACTGCTGAGGGATTCAAAGGCTAAGGCAAGGAGTCGTCGGTCTATGGACTGGTGTGCACTTGGACATGCACATGAGACCCCTGGGCGTCCTGATGCTGGGCCTTGGGTTCTAGGCAGGGACAGGGAGTGTTGGGGGCAGGACCTGGGGCCCTGCCGGCATCTGGTCTGAGCTGAGCCTGTAGAGGTGGCCAACCCTTCTCATCCCAAGCTTCGCTCTCCCTGTCTGTGACTAGGGGGGGGGCTCTGGGAGGCTGTGGCATCATGGCTGGTGGTGAGTACCAGGCCAGCTGGCCTCCACCTTGCCTGGTGTTCCCCACACCCTGCTCACCTCAGCCACTGGTATTCCCTCTGGCGGGCGACACTGCAGGAGGAGCTCGTGGTCCAGGGGCACTTCCTTGCCCAGGGGCTCCTGGTCAAAGTTCTTGCGCAGGTCTGGGAGAAAGAAGTAAGAGGGTCAAGAGGAGCAATCAGGTAGGGGCAGAATAAAGACCTTCAGTGCCCGCTGTGGCCACAGGGGGACAGTGAACACCGAGGAGCTGTTCTGGGACACCGGGCCTTCACCTGGGCAGGTTCTGTTCTGTGTAGCTAGGGGAACAGGGTTCCCTCCCTGACTCTGGGATCTTTCACTCACAGTGGCCCAGTGTGCAAGGAGGCTGCAAGCTTCCTTGTATGGGTGAAAACGGCCTTTAGAAATCTGATACAGGAACCCGTCTAAGCTGCACCAGGGTCCGAAGTGGGCATCTTTGGCCAGGCATGTGGAAGGCTCTAAAGGTGTGGAAATCCCTCTTGGGCATCCATGGAGAAGGCCGGGATGGGGGTTGGGGCGGGGTGTCAGGGAGACATACAGGCGATGCGGACGTAGGCCCGGCGACTCTTGGTGGTGCCCGCAGAGCTCCAGGCCACGCACTGGCACCAGTAGTCCTCCAGCCCGAAGAGCTCCTCCACCTGCTGCCGGGACACCTGGATCTGCACATCTCGCACCCGCAGGCCTGGGGGAGGACAGCACTGTCGGGGAGGGGGCCGGGCACACACCACACCCGGCCCTCCTTCCAATTCAGATCACAGCCAAAGCCCTCCAGGCCCCGCAGCTCCACCCCACAGGGCGCCTTCCAGGTGGTCACAGAGCCCTGCCCGGACTCCCTTCCTTCACTCTGTGCCTGATGCACTCCCAGTCACCCTCAGTGTCTGGCTAGGCCTCACTTCCGGAAGGAAGCTCCCAACATGCCACTCCCTCCGGCTCTCAGGACATGGCCAGCACTGCCACTGCACAGTGACTGTACCCATGACAGGCACCAGTACCACTGTTTGTATTTACTTTTGTGGTTTTTTTGAGGCAGGGTCTCACTATACAATTCAGGCTGGCCCTGAACCCATGGCAATCCTCCTGCCTCAGGCTCCCACATTCTGGGATTATCGGCGCACACCCCTTGATTAGTTATCTGTATGATCTGGATGTGCTCTGTGCTGACTGTCCTGCCCAGGCTGTGGCTCAGGGCCTGGTGCAGAAAGAGACTGGATGTGGTATGGCTCCTTCACTGGACCACTGGGTCTCCCGGCCCAGGCAGGGGTCACCTTTCTGGCTTGGGAAAGGAGTGGACCCATGTGGAGCTCTTCCCGAAGTTTGGAGGAAGACCAGGCCTCCTCTTCCAGGGAGCCTCCCTGACTGCTCAGCCTTACAATTCCCAAGGCTGCGTCCTTTGTCACGGTGCGTCCTGTCTCATCCTCTCATTGCACACAGGTTGTCCAGCGCCTCAAGAGCAGGACTGTGCACACTGTGCTTCTGTAACCTGGCCCAGGTTAGAGGACTGGCCCCACCCTCACTGGCCTCCAGTAAGTCACTTGTCCCCTCTGAGCCTCAGTTCCCTCACCGAAGTAAAACACACAGGGTAAATGCCAAGTCACTCGTGGTGAGTACTGTGCCACGGCACCCAGCCCAGGCTGGGTAGTAAGTACTTGCCTCCAGCAAATAATTTGGCTCTCATCTCGTCTTTTTTTTTGTTTAGAGAACTGAGGCCAGAGAGGGCAGGTGGCAGGCCTAGAGTCCCCCAGCAAGCTGCCAGCATAGTGGGACCAGTTCACTGGTGTCTCCCCCCAGCTTAGAGCTCTGTCCTGGCAGCCAAAGGCTCATGCACCAAGGGCTTTGGTGTTTGGAGGTGGCAGGATCACGGGGTGCTGAGCCCTCCATGGATGAATTCACAAGTTGCTCACTGAGTGGGTGGGGCCCAGCAGCGGGAAGCAGCTTATTGGGGTGTGACTTTGAAAGTGGATTTGAGCTGACATGGTGGCACACAACTGTAACCTCAGCACTCTGGGAGGCAGAGGCAGGAGGATTGCAAATTTGAGTCCAGTCTAGGCTACTCAGAAACTCGGTGAGACCCTGTCTCAAAATAAAATCAGGCTGCAGATGTAGCCCAGTGTGAAGGCCCTGGGTTCGAACCCTAGTCTGGCACCAAAGGGGAGGAGCTGCCCAGGGGGTTTTGCCAGGAGGGTCCCTCTCACCGGCTTCCACCTGGGCAGGAGCAGCAGTGCTCGAGAGCAGGAGGGAGAGAAGCCACCGGCCCAAGAGCTGGACACCTTGCCCACGGCCACCTGCCAGAGAGGCAGAAGATGAGGATGGGGCTCTGGGGCCTCCCAAGCATGATGGCAGGGGCTGAGTGGCTGTCCCTCCCATCCTGACACTGCTGTCTTCCTCTGCTTTCAGGGCCGAGCACCAGGACAGGGGCGCTCATGGCTGCCGAGTCTGGCACGCCAGCCACTGTCCAGCTCGGGCCGCTATGGGGACAGCAGTGCCCATCCTTCCACCTGGCAGGCCCAGTGCGCCTGTGGAGCAGGAACCATGTCACTGACAACCAGGAAGCATCATGGTGGTGGGGGCGGGCGGCAGGCACACAGTCCCCTTGCTTTGCCTGGGCCCCCAAGCTGACATCTGATCCCGGTGGGCTAAGGGAAGGGGCAAGGACTGGCTGTGAGAGAAGACAGAGAGAGAGGCCACAAGAAGCCCAGAAAGAGGCAGCCTCCATGCTGCTCCATCCTCACTGGGACGGACCTGCGGCTCAGGGAGGCTGAGTGACCTCCCCAAAGTCACACAGCCAGGGAGCGAGAGCATCTGGATGGGGAGTTAGGCTTCCTTTTAGATTTTGGGTAACAGTGGGACTACAAATCTATTTAAAAAATTATTTTAAAATTGTGGTAAAATGTATATAACTTGCTATTTTAACAATTTTTAAATACCCAGTTCAATGGCTTTAAGTACATTCTGGAGTGGTTTTGTCTGAATGGATCCAAAATTTGGGCTTTTTGTGGCAAGAGAAATTGAAAGAGAGAAGAAAGGGAGAAAGAGATATAGGAAGAGATAGAGAGAGAGAGAGGAGAGAGAAAAAGAACAAAAGTGGGGAGGCAGAGAGAGAGAGAGAGAGAGAGACAGACAGACAGACAGACAGAAAGATCTGTGTTGTTGTCTGAGACAGGGACTCACTTTGTAGCCCAGGCTGGCCCTGAACTTGAGGCCATCTTCCTGCTTCCCTTATAGATGTCGCCACCACACACAATTTAAGACAAACATAAAGTGAGAGACACACAGAGGCCACTGGGATGAGAAGGGACGGCAAGCCAAAGAGAGCAAAATAAGAGCTGAAACGGAGAATGCCCGTGTGGCTCCTCCCGTGCCCAGCGTGCCCACCGAAGGCCTGGCTGCACCCCATCTTGAACAAAGACCTACTTAGTATTATGGGGTCAAGCATCCCAAAACCAAATCGGAAACACTTCGCAAATCAAAATTGCCTGAGTGCTGACACGACACTCGGAAAGTTTTGGAGCATTTTGAATTTGGGGTTTTTGGATTAAGGATACTTAACCGGTAAAGTCTATTCAAACCCCAGATCCAGAAAACTCTGAAATCTGAAAGACTTCTGGTCCCAAGCATATGAGTAAGTGATGTCCAACCTGTATTAACCTTTTTTGGGGTACCTAACCTCCTAACTTCCCATCCCTCCTTTCTTTTCTCCTTCTGCAGTGCAGGAATTGAACCCAGGGCCTTTGCACTGAGCCACATCCTCAGCCCTTTTTGTTTTATACTTTGCGACAGGGTCTCATTAAGTCACTAAGTTGCCCAGGCTGGGCCCGAACTCATGATCCTCCTGCCCCAGGTTCCCCAAGTGCTGGGATTAGAGGCATGCACCATCACATTTGGCTAACGATTTATTTCTAGAGGAACGGTATCATGGTTGTGAATGGAAAACAGCATCACTCTCCACAGAGAAGGCCTGTAAAAGTAAGGACGGTAATGAACTCTGCTTTGGTGGAGCAAGCGTGGGTGTGGGGCAGAGGCCTGCTCCCCTTTGCTAAACTGGGGATTTGTAGCCATGGGAGGGCTGAAGAATCTGAGTTCCCCACTGGAACTTGCTCCCTGCTCCAATCAAAAGGACAGAAAGAAAATGGCAAAGGGAACAAGCACTCAGCAAGGGACTCGGTGCTGTTGAAGGCAGTGGCCATGGTCACCGAGGGCCTGGCTGAGCCTGCAGATGCTCTGAGGAATCTGGAGCCTGGAGCCAGGGTGCCCGGTGCAGGAGGACTCACCCGTGGCCTCATCCCGGCCTTCCTGCGTGACATGGTCGCTCTGGCCCACCCACTCTCCATTGCACTTGAAATAGATCTGTGTGGCGGGGGAGGCACGGCAGTGCAGCTCCACAGGCCGGTTCTTCACGATGTAGGCATCCTGGGGTTCCTGCAGGAAGTGGGGCAATGGCTCCGCAGGCGCCGAGGGGAAGGAGTCAGGGAGCACCTCGCTGGCTGTGTCAGCACCTGGGGAAGACAGAGCACCCATGAAGCGTGGTGGGGAGGCCCCAGGCATCCCTGACCCTCCCTGGTGCCTGCTTTGGAGATGGAGCTGCCGAGGCCCTGCTCGGTGGCTATGGGCAAGATAGAGGCCTCAGTTTCCCCATCCTGTCCTGCCTTTAGGAGACTGGGCTTCAGAGCCTGTCCCAGCACTGTGATGCCGTGTTTTTTTTGTTTTTTTAAAAACAGAGTCTCACTATATGGTCCAGGCTGGCCTTGAACTATTATGTAGTCCAGCTGGTCTGGAACTCCCAGTGAATCTCCTGCTTCAGCCTCCAGAGTGCTGGGGTTACAAACATGCACCACCACGCCTGGCAATGCTGTGTGATTCTACCTCCCTACAGCAGGAGAGTCCAGGGAGGCCAGGTCTCAGGACGAGGTCATCCCTGGGACTTCCTTCCCATGTTCCCTGGTCCTGCCAGGCCTGCCTCAGGCCCATCTCCCATGGAGATGCCACAGTATGTGACAGGCTGGAAGCAGGGCTGAGGCTGGCACTCAAACCAGGCCAGCTCTGGCCCAAAGCCACTGCTGCCCTTTGCAGCCCAGCCAGCCAGGCTGATGATGTGGAGAGACAGCCAGAGCCCCGGGGCGGAGAGTGGCTGGGGGTAGCGGCACCAGGCCTGGCCTCCCTGGCATTCGGTCCCCTGCAGGCCGCCCCCTTGAGGAAGCCAGAGCACCGTGGAGGCAGGACTGAGGGTCACCACCCAGAGCTGGGCTCCTGATCTGACCCACCCAGCCCATAGCCTCTTCCCAGCATGGCCGTCTCCTCCCCCAGAGGGGTACATGGGGATGCCTGTGTCGCTCAACGGAGAGGGAGGTGAGGCAAACAGGAAGGGAGGGGGCAGCCCCTGCTGGCACCGAGTGGGAGGAAACCAGGCCAGGCCGGCCATCGGCTCACGACTCACTGTGGAAAATTGGCTTTCAGTGCCAGATGCAGACAATGAGGTGCTGGGGTCGAGCCGCAGGGGGCTTGTCTTTCTCCACCCACTGCTCCCGAGGAAACAGAGTACTGGGCTGTGGGTTGGGCACGTCTCCTGGTCCCTGCCAGTCAGGTGCTGCCTCAGCACGGGGCCCATTCGGATGGGGGCCCAGGAGACCTACATGGGGACAACTCATGGCTCTGGCAAGCCCCCTCCAGGCCAAGGAGCCAAGGACACCCGTGTCTCCAAGACCAGAAAAACACAACATGGCCGGCTGTGGTTTCTTTGTGGACGATGAGACCCTGCCAGGACTGGGTGGCTTTGGGGGTGATGCATGATGTCTGTCACTGGCTACAGGCTCTGGGCAGTGTGTGTGAGACACAGATGGACAGAGAGACCCACCAACAGGGGGAGGGAAGGGAAAGCCAGCCGGGTGGAGTGAGAAGTAGCGTGTCTGCATGTTCCGTGAGCATCGCACGAATGCCTAGGAGGGGACCTGGCATACAGCAGGTACATGGTGCTGCATGAAAAGAGCGAGTGCTTACTAAGTATCAGGTGCTGTGGCTTTGGTCCTTTAGGTATTTAATTTTCCCAACAACTTGGTAAGGTCTGTTCTGTTAGTCTCCATTTTATAGATGGGGAAATTGAGGTTCAGAGAGGTTAAGCCACTTTCCCAAGCTCACACAGCTAGCTAGAGACAGACCAAACCAAGGTTTGAACCCAAGAAACAGACATTGGTATTTGGCAGGCGGCCCAAGACTCCTCAGCCGATTGCTGTAATGTTGTGGGCGTTCCTACAGCGGAGAAACCTAGTAGCATCCTGACGCTGGCCAGGACTCTACAGTTTATGGCCTCTCATGAAAGGGCCAGCAAGACATTGACTGTTGTTTTCACTTCAAAGCTGAGGACAGTGAAGACCACACAAGTGGCGCCAGTGACTTGCCCAAGGCCACCTGGTAACTGGGCAGCGACTAGAATAACACCGAGGCACACAGTGACCCCTCTTAGCCCTGGGACTGGTCACCACGCCCACCCTGGGATGGTCACAGAGGCCTCCCTGACAGGTGCACAGCAGGGCACCAGCTAGGCCCTGCCCACCTGTGTAGGTCCTGAGCAGGGAGAGCAGGGCTGAAGCTCCACATTCTAACACCCTGGCCTCACCAGCCCCTCGCATGCTTGGGCAGCCCATCCAGGAAACGGGGACCGCCTTCCTCCGGGAACATGTCACACAGGCTGGCTCCTACCTTCTCTCCACCCCACCCCACGGCACTGCACTTCGGGCTGTGTTTACGACTTTGTTTTATAAGCTTAATGCGACTCATTTATAAAGCGTGCAGTCTGGGAGGATAGAGGAGTGCAGACATTAGGCATCCATTAGTGTGGTGGCCCCGTCCACCCCACCCCACCCTACTGGCTGCTCCACCGCTGGAGCCTGTGTCCCTGGCCTGCAAGGGACATGGGCCCATGTCCCCTTCGGGGCCACCAGGCCAGCATGAGGCAGCCAACCTTGGAGTCACATCTGTTGGTTCCCTGCTTCCCTGGTGTTGTTATAGCTTTCTCCAAGATTCCATCTTTACAGCGGAGAACAAAATCCCAGAGAAGGACTTCCTGGTGGAGACCAGGCCTCTGCCAGGCTGGACCTGGACTTCCTGCTGGCAGGGAAATTTCCCACAGTGAGTTTTTTTCCTACCAATAGAATTCCTTTGGGCCTAAGTGGCAAAGATGCAATTCCCTTTAAAGCCGCATACATGGATGGGCCAGATATGCAAGAGGACGCTTCCCTGAAGATGTAGCTACAAGAGGGTGAATAACAGGCAAAGGCAGCTTCTGAAGGCTGGAGCCCTGGGTTTGCATTCCGGGGCACTGACACTGTGGGGTGGCCTTCCCCTCTGTGCGGAGGGCCCGTCTATACAAGGGAGGGATGGCCAAGCCACTCTCCCAAGCCCTACTCTGGTCCTGACGCTTTGATAATCTCAGATTCCCTCCCCTATGAGGCATCTGTCCATGTGTGAAAATGTCCTGATGCATCCACTTTTTCTTCATAGAGCCATTTTGCCTAAGGAAGGGTCATCTTTCTCACCATGGCTAGTCCTGGCTCAAACTCCTGGCACACTCTGTGGTCCTAAGGCAGGGGATCAATGGGTCCCGAGAAAGGAGGAAGAGGAAGAAGAAGCATTTGCTGTTGGGTTCTCCCAGTCCTACCCCTGCCACCCATTCCAGGCCTCAGGTCAAAATGACCAGCAGCCCACTGGTTGGGACTTCCTGTGGGAGCAATGCAAAACGCCCCTTCTAACTTACCCATCTACTTGGATGAGTCTCTGTGGAGGTTACTTAAAGGGCCAGCCCTTCCCACATACCCTGTCACCTTCTCTTCCAACTTTAACTCACATACCTTCAGAGGTGGGGCACTCAACACTGCCTTTCTTACTCAGGCTCTCCTTGGGACAGATCCAACAGTTAGAAAGCATTTCCTTACTTGGAGCAGGAGGGTGCTAGCCGAGGCCCCGGCCACTGCCATAATCCCCACCTTTGAGGTCATTCCAAAAGTGCACTTCCTCTTCCCTATGACAGACTCTTGGTCTTGGAAGCTGTAGCCCGGCCGCCCTGGCCTTCTGGCCTTTCTTTTATATACTGTCTATGAGACACAGTTTGGCAGCCCTTGTCCCCATCCTGGCTTCCTTGGGGACAAATCCCATTTTGCTCAGTCGCCTGACACTTGCTGCTTCTGGGAAGAACCTCTGAATCAGTCAAAGGGACATGCCACACCCTGCCTGTCTCCATGGTGTCCAGGTCAGGGTACCTGTCTGGGAAGAGGCTGGTCTGGCAGGACAGCAGGACTGTGCTTGTTTACAAGCTTCTTCCCAGGGCTGGGTAGGAGCTTTGCCCGCTGAGAGGTGCCAGAGCCAGGCCACTAGAGCACGTGGGTGGCAAAGGAACAGCTATGGGATGAATATAATAAAGCTGTATTCCCCTGAGCATCCAAGAGGAGGAAGCAGCCCAAACATGCTTAAAGGGGAGTCTACTATTGTTTCTTGGGGGAAGCCAGAGGAGTTCTGCTCCCCTTTCGGTGAGCTTCACCTTGGGGCCCAAGCTGGCTGCGTGTGCATAAAGCAGGCTAGCCAGGGAGCACAGAGCTGGTTTAAATCCTCACTCTGCACCAGGAGACCTCGGGTAGTTTGTTTACTGCCCAGGGCCTCAGTTTCCCCATCTATACAGCAAAGGATAGCAGTTCCTGCCCTGTCAACTGAAAAAGCAGATGTAAATGTGCTTTCCTGGCTGGGTGGTGTGTGTGCCAGGCAGACAGAGAGGGTGGGTAGAGGGAGGGAGAGAGATTTCCTCTAGCTGGGCTCTGTGAGGATCCTGGGAACCTCTCACTGGCAGGTTCTTTCACCTACTGTCCCCTGAGCCCCTACAGGCCAGAAGCATAGAAAATTGATGCTAACAGGAGGCCTGGAACCCTGCATTCTCCAAGCTCCGAGAAGGGAAGTGATGACTTAAACATCACACAGCAAATTAACAGCCCAGCCAGACCAGAGCCCAGTTTCTGGTTCAGGGTTTGGGTAAATGCTTACGCTCTTATTTCTCATGCCTGGGATGGAAACTTAGCACCAGACAGTCCAGCTGGGCCGACCTCTGTTCAGCCCTGCTGCCCGAGAAAGGGACCTCAGTGCCAGGCTACAGTGGTTTGGCAGGGAGGGCCTTGACACTCCCACCGCTGGGCTTTGTCCCCAGGCCTTGGACAAGCCCCCCATCTGTAGCTGAGCAGGGCCATGTGGCTCCAGGGCTGGCTGGTGCAGGACTGCGAGAGGAGAGGGGGTCGGGGGGAGGTGCGGACAGAGATGCCCCACACTGCGCACATTTATCATCAGCAATCACAGCCTTTCTCTAGCCCCTGGACACTGGCTAATTCTCCCCAGACTTGACCTCCCACTGCATGGAAAATCTCTTCCATTCACTATGCGGCTGCTGGGCTCAGTGGAGAGTCGGAGAGCTGGGGGAGAGGAGCTAATTTTTTATTATGTTTTAAGAACACACAGTCCCACGCTG